CTGAGTCCAGGCTTGAGATGCAGAAGGAGGACGCCAGGTGGCACATCGGCGATGACTGTGCCGAAAGTTAGTGCTAGCCAGAAACAGGTTGTGGTCTGTGCATAGTTGCAGTAGACGTTCCCCGTTATCTGTCCTGCGACCATCGGCGACGACGTTGCTTTGTCCTTTAATATACTGGATGTCTGTGGTAAATTGAGAAATATAGTCAAGTTGCCTGGCTTCCCGAGGTGAATGGCGATCATATGATACATTAAAGGAGTAAATTAAAGGTTTGTGATCAGTCATTATAGTAAACGGACGTCCTTGTAATAAAAAACTGAAGTGTTTTACTGCAAGATAGATAGCAAGTAGCTCACGTCCAAAAGTGCTGTAACGTTCTTGTGCCTGTGATAATCGTTTAGAGAAGAACGCTATGGGCGTGATGACGTCGTTTACCCGTTGTTGTAGCACTGCCCCGACAGCTTTCTGCGATGCATCTGTGCATAGAATTAGATTTGTCGTGGGGTCAGTGTTGAGGTGTTGTAACATAGTGGCGTTGGATATAAGAGATTTAGCTTTCTCGAATGCAGTTTTAGCATCGGTCGATAAGTTGAATATGTCGTTTTTAGTTTTTCTCGTCACTTGGTTGTCGGCTTTTAACAAGTCAGTCAGAGGTTGTAAGGTTTCAGCGCGATGTGGTAGGAATCGTCGGTAGAAATTACACATTCCAAGGAAACGGCGTAATGCCTTTAGTGAGGTAGGTTCAGGGTAGTTGATGATGGCGTCTACTTTCTCCTGTAGTGGTCTTATGCCTCGTGAGTCTATGTAATTTCCCAGAAACTCCAAGGCAGGAGCGCCAAAGATGCACTTGGAAGGATTAATGACGACTCCATACTGTTGGAAGCGATCGAAGAGGGTTTGTAGGTGCTGAACGTGTTCTTCGATCGACGCGCTAGCTATAAGAACATCATCGATGTAGACAAAAACAAAGTCGAGGCCTCTGGTTACCTCATCCATAAACCGTTGGAACGTTTGGGCTGCGTTTTTTAACCCAAATGGCATTCTCAAAAATTCAACCAAGCCAAAAGGTGTGATAATGGCTGTTTTTTCAATATCTTCAGGTGCCACCGGGATTTGGTGATATGCCCTGACTAGGTCAAGTTTTGAAAAAAAATGTTTTCTATATAAGTTAAGCGAAAAACCATGAAGATGAGGAATGGGGTATCTGTCAGGTGTCGTTTGGTTACTTAAACGTCGATAATCGCCACATGGGCGCCAGTCCTGATCTTTCTTTGGTACCATGTGTAGTGGCGAAGCCCATGGGCTGTTTGATTGACGGATGATACCCAGTTGCATCATGTGTTCAAACTCTCTTTTGGCAATCTGAAGCTTATGTGGGGGCAGTCGCCTTGGTTTGGCGCAGACGGGAGGACCAGTAGTAGTAATGTGATGAAGTATGTGATGTAAACTGCCTTCCTTTCGATAGTCAACCTTGGTGATGCTATCATATTTAGTTAAGAGGTCGGCGAAAGGTTGATTATCAGGCTTAATTAAACGTACTCCATGAATTTCGTAAATGTTAGCAGTAATGCCGTTTACGTGTAAACGTGTCTGATTGTCGATTAGTCGTTTGGCGCGCACGTCTACTAGCAGATTATAGGCAGTAAGGAAATCTGCTCCCAGGATTGGCTGTTTTACCTGTGCTACTACAAAGACCCACGTGAAACGTCGTCTGAGACCGAGGTCGATTATTAGTGACTGTTCCGCGTAAGTCTGAATGATTGTTTCATTCGCTGCTTGGAGTGTATTCTTGCTGGGGGTGATATGTTGCCGTCGGGAGAGGTATAGAGGGATAATGCTTATTTCGGCTCCTGTATCGACTAAGAAGTCTGAGCCCGAAATTCTGTCCCTGATGTGAAACAGACGGCTATTAGCATGGTCAGAAGCAGTCGCCGCCATTACTGTCTGGCAGGCCAGTTTCCCTGTAATTCATGACTGCTTGTAGGGAAAGTGCACGGCTTGGTACAACGTCGTGCTTTCTCACCATACTTCTGATGGTACCAACAAACGCCAGTTGGTCTTTTTGGAGATTTAGAGCGATGTCGCGATCCTGACCTTTTTCTAGGAATTATCGAAGTTGGTTTCGTGGTTATCATAGCTATCGAAGCACGTAGTGATTCAATCTGATTTGTGAGTTGTGCTATTTGCTGTTGTTGGAGGCTAATGACATTACACATATTATCTATACCAGTAGTTTGTACAGAATTAACAACTTGGTTATCTGGGTAGATTTCAGTTATTTTATCAGCCATGTCGGCTAACTCAGTCAGGTTGGCTGAATTAATAGTTACCATAAGAATCTGTCTGACATTGTGAGGTAGCCGTTGAAGCCAAAGTTGTTTGAGTATATTCTCGTCTAATTTATAAGGACCAGACAACTCTTTCATGTATCGTAGTAAATGGGATGGCTTTTTATCTCCCAACTCACAGGAGGTTAATAACTGTTGTAGCCTTGTTTCGTCTGATGCAGAAGTTCTCTGTATCAATGCGGCTTTAAGTTTATCATATGGGTCGTTTTCAGGCACTTGAGCAATAAGATCTCCCACTTGTGCAGCTATGTCTAATGGGAGTGAGCTTACAACATATGCGTATTTCGTAGTTTGTGCGCGTATGTTTTTGGCTGTAAATAAAGCTTCAATCTGACAAAACCACATCCTAGGGTTGCTAATGCCAAACGCAGGAAGATTAAAATCTGAGATAGCATTAATGGAAGTTAGGGTTTTATCTTCAGACTGTGATGTGGAGAAAGGATTAGCTGGGAGAGAGTCCATTGTAAGTGATTTAGTACAAATAAAGCCGTATGGGATATAAACAGAATGGATAAGCCGAAAATAATAATAAAAATTATAATAGCATAACAAATAGCATAAATACACGCTCACTAATTAACTCTGGAAAACGTTGGGGTCACCATTTAATTGTGGTGGGCCACCCAATATATTATTTCAAAATATTAACAAGGTTATCAGATATCAATGAGTTCATATTGAAATATATCAGTTAAATGCAATAAATACAATAAAAATATAAGAACATTACTTAATACAGCTACTTGTGCGTGTTCGATTTGATCTGGTGGTCCTTTACCACAATTTTGGTTCGTTTAATATTCCATTTATCATGATAATCCGAAGGTCAGTATGTGTATGTGGCTGCAGTCTATAAAGTAGATAACATACGTATTAATTATTATGAATAATATCCACTAAGCAGATGAGAATAACAAGGGTATGTATAAAGTGTATTTGATAATGTATAGCGGCGAGAGCCGTGCTAGTGTACAATGAACGGAAAGTGAAAACATCGCGTGTGTATATATCTATATAGCGCCTGTAATAATTAATGTCACACACATAAACAAAACGTACAACAATCTCATAGTGAATGTACAAGCTGTGAAATTTAACCAAAATAAATACAGATAGTATCAAAAACTGTTTACAAAATAAGTTTGTCATGCCATCTTCACAAGGCGATCGATGCTGATGCTTTCATTGGTTCCGTTCTTATCGATTATGTAGTACTTAGATTCGCGTTGAAGAACTTTTAAAGGTCCTTCATATGTTGATTCGAGAGGTTGTCGATACGAGTCTCGACGTACGAAGACGTGTGTACTATGTCGTAAGTCAGGTTGAACGAAAACATCAGTTGATTGTGGTCGGGTGGAAACAGGTTTAACTGAACGCATTGCGTTTGTAAGCCTGTTCTCGTAGTAGGTTAGATCCATGTTCATCGAAGAGAATGAAGGATCCACGAATTCTCCAGGAAGTCGAAGGGTCGTACCATAAACGTGTTGAGACGCAGTGTATCTGCACTTGGTTAAGACGAATGTTTATGTATATTAAAAAAAGAAAAAATTGCACCGGTAGAGTCTTTGAGTTGATTTTGTGTGCGAATTCAGATATCTCAAATGAATCAACTAAAGCTGAAGGTATATCAGATTATTTCAGCGAGTTCTACGCCGAGGTTGTTATTATAAAATCTTATCATGATAATACTATTTGGATCAAGTATCTAGCACCGTGTCAAAACTAAATGGGTTATTTCAGTTCCTGGACAGATTAACTTATTCATTCCCTTTGAGTCACATATTGACCGTATTAATTAGTCGCTTGATGACCTTGACTGTCTTTATATTAGCGTTTGTGTGCATTGTTCATCTTACTCATCCCGTGTCTGTAGTGTATTTTTGTATGTCACACTTGATGAACTGAAGATGGTACGATAATCAGAAGTATTCGGATTATTCTACTAACTAGGAACTCCCTAAATAGCACAATTTAAGCCAGATAAAAGTAGATGAGCAAAAACGAACGTATTGTATTTGGAGTTCTATATCAGCAGATAATCAAGTACGAAGAAATCACACTTGACTCACTTGCCTTCTCCCCTACTTTTTCCGAATATCTGTCTGAATTAGATTTATTTCTCTCAACCCATGTTTGACTTCCGATTAGAACAATCACATGAACTGTGTTGTCTTAGGTAATATATGGAGTTATAATTGAAATATTTATGTCCATAACATGTTTGTACGTTCAAACCCTTGTCAGATACCATGCAACAGAGATTCCGACCATAAAATTAATGCCTATGATTAGAGCAACCGTGTTTCAGTTACTCATAAACGTTAAACCTGATAAGTTGCGGAATATTGACTGAATGTACTCACTATCGATATATATATATATATATATATATATATAAGCGAGTCATTTGATAACTTTGGCCACTTAGGGCTAATTTAAACACTTAGCCATAGTAAGAAGGTTCGAAAACCATGATCAAATGCACTCAAAGGGATATTGCGTCTTACTCATCAAGTGATAGGTGACAATAACGCCCTATCCGAACAAATGTTACTAGTTTCAGAAACTATTTCCAAGGATACTGGAATATTACAGAAAAAAAGCTGCTAGGATGAACACAAACCAATTACCTTAAATATTGAAGACGAGGCGGGATTTCCAAGTACATGCGTTTTTTAATGTTGCATATTGTTCTTCCAGGTTAACAATTATTTTTCTATGGTGAATTATTCGCATTTGACTTGTCTGCCTGTAACTGAGTAATACATTTTGTGTGCTTATCAACCGCTGTTAATGGTTTGCACGTTTGCTACAAATGTCATTAAATAAAATTTGCTTATATGACATTGTCAAATATTGAGTTGTCTTGTTAGTTCCAACTTCTGGCAGTTGGATGTAAAACACGACATATTTTTGCCTTTGCTGATGTTCAAAGTATAATTTAAAATACACATGTATCACACGGATGTATATTTCCCCCAGAACGTGTAAAATTTTCCTCAAAAATGGGAGATTAGGGTTATGTTCTGTAGACATCGTCATGTGCATCCTGCTCATAAGACCAATTTTGAGTTTGGTCCTCAGTATTTGAATTCACTTGATACAGTAGAATATCACTTTATAAAGTTGCTGCAGCGATCTGTATGCTGATAATTCTTAGTCTGCAGACCAATTTTCCAAATTTAGCTCATGGTGAACTATTTAGTGAAGTTTTAGTGATCAAACTGGCCCTGGATACTGCTGAATCCTTTTGGCCACTTCGCTGAGATTTAAATTGGCTTTGCATCTAGGCTTACAATGTATTACTACCAACTTAGCGGTCTCCCCTTTTCATTGTGACGGATAATGTATCGTTTTACTAACTTCGTAGATTGCTTGAAGTTAGACATTAACACCGTTGGATGCTGGCTCAGTGGTTTAGTGGTTAAGTGCTCACGAGCGAGACTGGTAGTTCTCCCGAGGCGGGATCGTGTATGCACACTGCTGGGGAATTTTATACTAGGACGAAACGGCTGTCAAGGGCTTCCAGGATATATATGGTGGTCTATCTTCAATGGACTCATGAATTCAAGTATTGAATAAATGATAATTCCTACTTCATTTCGGTTAGTTATCAAATCCAATGTCGATATTGCGAACAAGAGTGGATTTTATTCTTACCATATTCTGGATGTACGAGGACTGTACTGACCGTCTTACAGTTACTCTTGTTTCTAAGTCGAAGCTAACGTTACCTTTGGAGAAATTGCCGACTTAAGATTTCCGGAATTCACTATTTGTTTTATTATGATAAGTATATGGACTTCGACACCTGTTGTCCACAAGAGTAGCTTGGTTAATAAGGAATTTGAGTCTGTTAGAAAAGGTCGCTGATGTTAGTGTTTAAGTCTGTATTTCATTGGTTGTATTTCGCATTTTATTTTTAAAAAGGAACTAAGTCTAAGGAAGCATCCTTAACATTGGTGCTGGTGTCCAGCAATATTGTTGCATCATATTCATAATTATTCATTATATTCAAGCTATCTTTCGGTTCGACCACAGATGTCTTAGAAATATTACTCGCATCTGCTGGGATTACCGGGGAAGTAATAGTAAGGTTAGACACAGGGTATTACGGAATGATGGTAAATCAGTTGGTGAGGTTATGAATCTTAATCAACTGAGATGGTTGGGCCACGTGTTGCGTATGTCTGGACACCGATTACCACGACGCGCAATGCTGAATAGTGTTGGGGATGGTTGGAAGAAAGTTAGGGGCAGCCAAACCAAAACGTGACATCAATGCTTGAAGTCACCAACTTCTGATCTGAGCCCTGTTTGTAGATGCAGACTACTCGGTTGGGGTCCGCGTCACTCTTAACCAATAGTTGGAGACTTTCGGTGACATGGCTCAGAATCAATCACAATGGCGTCGGTGTGGACACTCTCTATTTTCCCTTAGACTATGAGATTAAGATCGCTTCATATCTTTCCACCAACTAATTCTTCTTGTACTATATCCTTATATGCAATCTTTTATATATTACAACCACTGAATTAACTACTTCTATGAATCCGGTGTTCATCTCGTTGTGCTAATGCGGTATGGCAACTTGAACCGATGCACATATGTTCCTGGTCCTACGTTGTAGCCGACTGACTATCTTTCGATTCTCATTGCTTTACTTCATACATGAGGACAGACAATAGATCAAGTGTTAGGGTTTAGTATTTTCTTTGTAGGTAGACTGAGATATGATTTCACATTGGAATGAAATCAATCGTACAGTTACGTAATTCGAGTCCATTTATTGGATTCACTTCAGAATCTACAAGAGGAAAAAAAATCAAATGCATAGCATATAACTTCATATGTCCTTAGTTATTATCTAGCGTGTTGGTTTAAGTTTTTGTAAACGAAATCCAGTTTTATGTACCACAATTAATGTTCGCAACTAACCAGGTATAATGTAAAGGACTTATGATATAAACTATAATAAAGTAACAGCATAAAGTTTGTATGAAGGGATGTTTTATTATTATTTCTTATGCATTTAATCAGTTTTTAGTTTTTTTTTTAGCGTAAACGTCTATAGAGTATTAAAAGCGTCCGGTTTATGGTTGATAAATAACCTGTTAGAGCCGAGTAAGCTCCTGATTTACTTTGTTTAAACTATTTTAATCTTTGTTGATCTTTTTGGAGATAGATGGTTAGGCCACATCTTTCACCACTTTAGAGGATAACACTAATCGATTTCAATGTAGTTGGGGTTTCTCTAAACAGTCTTCTACTCTTTCTGGTCAAATTTTAGTGTGGGTTTCCGTGAACTTGCATTTTGATTCTAAGGACCCCTAACTTATGTTCCCTACTTATGCCACTAGTATTATGACATGTTTCCCGACATTCATTTTTATTCCTTCAAGTCCGTCGTGCATCATTGAATTGGGATTTTCTGGCCTGCCGTAATAGTCTTATAAAGGTCTGAAAATGGGTCAACGGTGACACAGCATCACAGACATTCATTAGCTGTTCTGTGTTCACTTTTTTTCAGTAGGAATTTTCCAATTGATATTAAACAGCTCTATAGCTTCCTGTATTACGAGCAGCACACTGCACATATAGAGCAGTTGATGCCTGCTACTCAGTCTAAAGGCAGCAGGAGGTTAGGCCAATACGCATTTTATGGTCTCACGTGATGCAGTTATTAGATCATCAATTCTCAGTCAAAAGGCAGCAAAAACCCTTATCACATTGAGGGTTTGTCTGAGTCATTTATATAAAAACTAAACCTTAAAAAGTTATAAACCTCAAAATGGCAACCTTCATGCAAGAAAAAATGAATAAACTTCGGCTAAGATGCCTACAGTTAAACTATACTGTGAAGGTTTTGGTTCGAAAAGTGCAATTAAAAGTGAATTAATACTGTGCGTGAAATTCGTTACTCCTTTCATTCGAAGTCACACTTGTTACGCCATAGATTTTCAGCGACTCACTTTTCCACTACCTGGGCAAATTCGTGGACGTTAGGAATTTCATCTTTCCCAGCTTGCATCGCTAAAAGTCAGGAAGTGCTAGACAATTGTTTCATTTAGCACGGGACTCCTCAGCAGTTCGCACCGCCACCCTAACTGGGATCGAACTCAGGGCCGTCGTGGCGAGCGTTTGACCTTCAAACCACTGAGGTGTATCGTGTGGTTTATGTTTTAAATGTGTCCTCATAGATTGTATATTCTTGATGAGTGGAAACATAAGATATTCATTTATAAATGGTGATTAAAAATGTTGAATGTTTATATGAGTTCATTTCTGAACTAACAGCTAAATAAAACAGGTTAGAGCGTTCTGAGGAAAAGGGCAGAAAACCCCTTTCATCATCTTATTTGCTAATTTACCTATTTCGACGTACATGCTTCACTCTATGAACATGGGTTTTTGTTTTGTATTCTGTGTTTTAGAAGCAACTAAATCCTTTAGAAAATATGACCATACTTCTGCAGTAAATCTTGAACGTTAGCAGACTCTTCATGGTCGCTTTAAATACCCTTTTGTAAGGTAAAAATAATAAGATTCTTTCACTCCCAATTCTCCTAACGATTTAGCTTGGAAGTTTCAGGGTTCTGTTTGTCACGCTCACGATGGTTTCATACTTCGATTTTGGTTGCATGTATTGTCTTATCAAAGTCGTAATACGAAAACGACAGTAAGACTTAATGACACTTATTGGAACATAAAACTTTCGTAATTTCGAGTTACTTTTGTGACCAATTACTAATTCAATAAGTTGGACTGTGCAAACATAGAGATTCTATGCACATCAAGCTCGGTTATAATTTTCATTGTTGCACTTTGAATCATAACACTACCCAAACATAATTTACTCGAAAATCTAAACCATGAATTGTTCCTCACTTTTATGAACGAATTACTTTAGTTTTTTTTTGTGCACACTTATAGTTATTAACTATAATTTCTGGTTTTTAGTCTCACGTCTCATGGGATCACTATCATTGGGTTATTACCCTTCATGTGATGTGGTAGCTACAGCAACATCTGGGTCAGCTTCTACAGATGATCGACAACAAACTCTTATTTATCCATGTATTAAGATGTAAACTAACCCTTTGTCATTAATCAAACAATTTATAGAATGAGCATCACTGGATTCGATCCTGAACGGTATAAAGTCATCAAGGGTGAATATACACCACTCGCATGTTATGGTGAATTACGAATTAATTATTGTATCACACGTGATATCCCTTTCCTATCGAATTCATTTATTACAAATTGGTCCCAAACACAAGTTAATCTTGACAGACAATTGTATGATAAACGATACAAGTGTAGATTTGTTTTCTAGATTTAATGAAGCCTTTGATTTACCCTTACCATATAATGCCTTGTACGACTATAATGGAATTTGTTTTGTCCTGTCATCTACGTATACGGATAAAAAAGGTATGCATGAACAGTTAATAGCTGGTGCAAACATGAAATTATATAATTCTAAAAAGTAAGTTATTAGCAACTACCATGTACCTACAATTTACCGTATTATGTGGACTAAAATATATAAGCAAATCCTACTATTTTTGTACCTGTGTCTGACTCTGGTATTACTGAACTGCAGCATCATGTTTGTAGTGTAAACGTTCGGTGTCACTATATTAAAACGTCAACTTGTAACACTGACTTCGGTGGGTTGGACAAGTCTTATGAATGTCGCCCCAGAAAATTCCACGTCGTGCATTATTTGCCGACGTTGTAACCGGTTGGAAAAAGCGGAGAGGCGGTCACTGTATGACATGGTGTCGTGGTATGAAAGAAAGCTGTACAGGACTGACTTTTGTTGGTCTTGCACGACTCCCTAGTTGGGTTCCTAGATATGGTGCAACAAAGCGGCTTGATGCGTTATGAGACATGGCTCATAATAAAAGCCAGTGGCAATCCTGCTGTAACTTTCTCTTGCTTTGTTCATAAAAGTGAACGTAGCTTCTTCAACTGAAAGAATTCATTCTGGTTGTATTTTTCTTAACCGAACTGTTTCTCCCACTATTATTATTATTATTATTATTATTATTATTATTATTATTATTATTATTATTATTATTGTTACTTCACTCTCATACACTAATTTCTGTTCGTTCTTTTTATTATACGCACTTTACATTCTCTATCTCTTCACAACCTCATTGTTATTGTGTAGCTCATATGTATTTGGTGCTCTTTTGTGCCAATGTTTATGTGCTCAAATAAGTAAAATCAGTCTGTCATATTAGTTTGCTGTACAATTGTAAATTTGATCAAGTTTTTATGATTAAAGTGAATGAGGGTTATTGCACTGTGACTAAGTTATTGATCTCAGTCTTAGTACTGCTTGTTCGGTGGATCCAATCTAATCACCAAAACAAGGAATTCATAAATTGAGTGCTCATCTGCGTCTTCTCCACTTAAACAAGGTATCCCTCACTATCGAGTTAGGTGTTTATATCGCTTCGATGGTCATTTCACAAAACAGTTCCAATAATTATACTTCTTTCTCGACCCATAATACGAACACTTACTGTGTGGTCCGTCAACGCTTCAACCATTACAGCGATTTCTACATCAGAAATCATTCCTTATATATCCATGTAATTGGTCGTGTTTAGGTATGTTTTAATTTTTTAGACATTGATATCTCATTTCACAAGTTAGGGGTTTTAATCCCACTAATCTGATTTAACTGTTAATTAACTGACTAATTAGATGTAACCTAGTTATCAATTGAATACTTGTGTGTGCGACTTCAAGACACAATTTATATGAAGATCATTAGTAGTACGCAGTTGCCTAAACCGAAGTAATGGAAGCAAGATGTAGTTTTTTGCCTTTAACCAACCCACCGTTCTACTATCTTGTTATTATATCTAATAAATATGCCCCATAACCTACCAGTATTGTAGTAGATTTGTCTAAATTGAATATCTAACATAAGAATCATAAATGCTGTTATGTAGCCATACTTTATATCGTTTACTTGGAAAACTGTTCACAAATATATATATATATATATATATATATATATATATATATATATATATATAACATTTAAATAATTTTCAGAGTATTTCGACAAGGAATTTACGAACTTGAATTACATCCTTTGGAACCGTTAGGTGTTTATCGACTAGAGGATGTTGAAAAATTAGTAAGGGAACCTACTTTTGACTCAAAACCTTCGAATATGGATACCATGAATCAAATCCTTAAGGTTTGTGATAAAAGTGACGTCTTTTATTGAGTTTTTTCATCTTTTACTATGACAATAAAATCAAAGTCTTTATAATTACTTTCTTATCCTATTTTATTTGATGCAATGAGCTCTGATAGTGTTACCTGACTTCTTGGTTTGAAATGGATTGAATCAGGGTTCGGAGAATGGTGACATTTGTGAAAGCACTTGGCTTCCGACTAATAAATCACGGTTTCGAATCGCAATCTGGCTTCCGTGGTTTAAACAATATGTTAGTATCGCTAACTCTCACACGCCAAGTTTAGCTCAAAGCCATGTACACGAGCATGTACTTGGTGAATGATGAATGAACAAGTTGGACTTCGAACCTATGGGTTGGTGGCAAATATTAAGTAGTCTAAACCGCAGATGGAATAACAAACCTAGTTAGTACTCTTTAACTAAACATTTTCTGTTAGTATTCAAGGGCATTTTGGCTTCAAAAGTTTTCGTTGCTCTTTAGCCTATTTTGATTCTGATAAAGATATTTCAGAAAGAAAATCATTTTCTTTTGTATTCCAAAGTTTTGATCATTTTTGTTGAATTTTTCTTGGTCGATTTGATGAGTGTTTAAATGTCTTTAGAATTCTACTAATAATGTTTAGAATGGGACACTGAGTAGGGAGTATACTTATTACAAACTCTAAGACCCTGATTTTTAGTCACAGATTTATTTAATTATTGTTCTATAGTCCTTCACTATAGGTGACCGGTTTTCAATCAGTGATTTGAATCCTTTGCTTACTGAGGCTTAGGAACCTGGGTAGTTTCACCAGTCTGCTTCTAATGGATATATGGACACATTTCGTCATTACTTTGCATATTTTTATTTATCTGTGACTTAGGTTTTAGAAGATGTGAGCACGAAAAAGGATTATAAAAACACTGTAAATGAAAGGAACATATAAGGTAGTACGAATAGCAAATGGGGAAAACTAATCACTGATATATTTGAATTGTTTATCAGGTACATTGTGTATGAAAGCTAGTGATACTACATAGTTACCAAATAGAAGTAATTGGAGCAGAGTTAGGACTTGAGACTTGATGTTTGAATGTTAGACGCTTTAACCACTAAGAGACTTCTCCAAACGATAGCTAAATCTGCTTCACTATCATCAATGGCTTTGCTTCTAATGCATTCGATAACACCACTTATATCGTTGCATAAATTACTATAACTACTACACAGAAAATTATCCAGATATTTGTAATCAGACAATCACTTTTCATTGGTGTTTACTAGGGTATTGAACTAAAAAAGTGTTATTGGGAGTTTTTACAGAAGTTGGAAGAAAATGATTCCAATCCTAATTAATCTCTTCCTCGTAAGTGTTTATGTACTTTTCTTATGATTTTCTTTACACATACTATTCTATTAGATGAATCGTAAACACCTTCGCAATGAATTGCTAGAAACACCATTAGACCGACATTGTATGCCAGATGTGGAACATGCGGTTGATGAGGCAAAACGAGCTAGTGGACGTTTATTCCTTAGTGTGAAATTTGAGTTTTCACGCAGCTATCCATCTGTGTATATGCCTGTAATATTTCAGCGTCCAGTAAGTTTTCACTGTGTTTTTTAAAATTTTGCGTAAATAAACTTGTTAAGACAAATCAAGGAAGAGATTTCTAAGGTATTCGTTATGTGGAATGATCTGAAAAGGTGATTACATCTTCACTGAAAACGTTCTGGCTCAGTTATCAAAGGATTTGGCGTCCAAATATTGATTCATAGGTTAGATGCCTGCTTTACATAAAATACCATCAACCCCAAAAGTAATTAATAGTTCTGTAAATGATTTTAATAACGGGTAGTGAATGCCATATGTATTCCACAACATTTTAGACTCTCACATATTTGTTGATTATTATTTCGATGGTTACGGGCTTAGTATTTCCATAAACTAATTAAATGTACAATCTTGATAATCAAAATCGCTGCATGACTTGCTCAGCTGTTATTTTGTATAATGAGGAAAATCTGAAAAAAGTGAAATAAACTGTATCATTCAACAAATATAGAATAAAAATCCGTTCAAATTTTATAATAAAATTTGTGAATGTGATTCAGTGATAACTATTTCTCCCTTTTGTCTTATGTTATCCCTATCGACTGTTAGTGAAAATTCACAACCTAATCTACTTTGATCAGTACCCTTACCTAAATCCATCACAAAATATTATTTTGAAGGAATTAGGTTTATGTAGTTTTCCAATGTTGCCTACTTTCGATAAACAACTGGATTAAATTCGTATAATTTGTAAAAATAAACTATTTCACATTCTGCTATCGGGTTAATTGTTAAAATAGAATAGAAATGCAGCGTTGACATATATATGCTAATAGCCAGACATACACAGATCATCAGATTTTCGTCAAATTATTCGAATAATTCCATTTTGTCTACTAGATTTGTGTTCTAAGTTGTAAAACCCATAGTAAACTACACTGCAATAATTTTGTGTACTTTTTTTCTGAAATTAGTTGGACTACTGTAACACGTAGCTACATAATATTGGGGTCAGTTATTATGACCTTGTATCCCGAGGAATTTTCTTTCATATTGTCATAGCTGTTTCATTCTTTTCTTCTGTAGTTTCTACCTGAACAGTCAGAATTACGAGCTGATCGAGTGAGTTGTTGTCTGCTTATATTTCTTCATTCAAGACACTTGTTAATTTATCATGGTTTTATGATAAAATTGCATCATTCTTAAACAATAATCGTTAAACAAATGTTTTTTCCGTGGAATAAATGTGACTTATAGTCTTGGTTCGTTACTCACAGAAACTGATCAGTTGTTTATCTAACTAGTTTCATGGTAAATAATAGAATGATAAGCTGATTGTATTTCCTAACTGAATGGTAGCCGACCACTTTCTAAATAATTTTTATGGAAGGTACTACTGCTCATACTAATCGGAACTACACTTTGTCTTATACTTATATCGCTCATGTGTGTTTCCTTAATTTTTGTGACAATTTTCTGTCACAGACCTATCCGGTGTCCTAACTGAAATACTCAAAGAAAAAACAGAATATCATCTACAACTCAAAAAACAGCAACAGACAGATTAACCTTCCTGTTTGCATAAATTTACATTAACAATTAACGTCGCAAGATATTTTCGGTCATATTATAGCGCATAGGTGATTATGGACACTGAAAGGTTGCTGCAAATTGTAAATAGAAGCAATAAACTGGAGAGTCTCCCAAAGCTAAACACACAAGCCGTTCAGCATCTAGTGTGAAAGATAACAATAGAATGAAAGAATCTATACTTATTGGGAGAAATTACAAATCATTTACGTAATACATTTACATTGTCTTGGATCGTCCATTTTCTTCTCTTAGTATGTTCTGAATTTTGAACATTCTTCTCGTCTGGTCTCCAAGTGTTCTCCCAACGTCATGCTTTCTCTGTCCTGAAACTCTTCATTCCGTCCGACAACTTCGAGACCATGTTCCGTAATATACTGCTTATAAGCAAAATTGTGACCAGCCCATTATACACTTTTAAATAAATTTAGATAAACCCAATTTATCTGTTGATTAGAAGAACGACAATCAAATAAGAATTTAGGGGTATGTCTAGGAAAAGTGGTAATTAAATAGTGTCGAAACAGTGATATCACAATTACTCGTTACCGGCAACTATATATTTTATCAACCAAATAATCTGCTAATTATGTGTAGAGAAATACTAGAAAATCAATCCTTTTTTAGGTTTGTATTAATGATATTGCCTAGAAATTCAATCAGAGCTTTGTGATTAAATGATTCGGCTTAGTGAAGGCAATTCTTGTAAAACTCAGTTTGTGAATAATTTAAGAATTGACTTTGTTATTGAAATGAAATGAAAGTCAGTTAACAGTAAGTGTTTTAAGCTAGGCACTTAGTCTAATTAACTTGTTAGTTTAGTGCATCCCCTTAACCAACTGACCTTATAATATGACTAAGACTGTATGACTGGGAATTATTTTATCGGATAGGGCCTTATTAGGCTTTTAATACTCCTTGATTCCATACAAAATATGAGGTTACTTTGACTAATATTTTATGAAAACACTGACATATGATCATTTTCATTCTTTTGTGTTATTCATATAATGTTGTGAATTATTGTTAATTATGTCAGAAACAATTTTCACTTTTTTTCCTCTAGTGGAATCCAGTCGATGAAAAGTATTTTAAAATGACACGTAATGCTCGTACAGCTGACGTGGATCGTGCACGTAAACCTAATAAAGACATATTAGATAGATTGAAAGTCAGTTTATTCATCTTATTATTTATTTATTTGTTTATCACTGTTTTTATTATATTTCCTGTTTAACACAGGATGAATATCAATGGTTAAATGCTTGATTAAGTTTTTTTTCCATTTTTGTTGTAGAGGTTGTAGTTAACTGGTGTTAGCAGTTAAGTTAAATCTGTCAAGTTTTCATTCTTAAATAACTGCCAATAAATCAGGCTACTATTTATGTATTAGACTTTAGAATACACGTAATATAGATACTTCTCAGCTTCCCTAATGTAGGTAGACTAAGCGGTATCACAATTTAACATTTAATAAGATATAAATAAATAGTAAATTTGTAATATCCCAATGAATAGAAAAATTAGATTTTCTGACGTTTCGTGATTCATTGTAAGCCACTTCTTCAGAGTGATTTTAGTAAATTACAATTAACTGTATGAATAGTTTGTTTCGTAGAATTCGCCAAATATTATTTAAAACACGCAGTTCAGCGAAGAGGTCCCTTCTCAACGAATTTATTATCAAGATGATGTCAGAAACATTTATGTGTAAAATCATGGGGATACAAGAAATAATTAAGGAAAGAGAGATTTTCAAATATGAAATCAATAAAATGAAAATAAAATAAAAATAACAGTTAAAGTTCATGGTAAAGACAACAATAAGACGTATTTTTGTATATACACGCTTCATCTCATGGATGATGACAGCTTTTCCCTTTTCTAGAGGTTGAATACAAAGAAATCCTGGTAGATTTGGATGAATTCTATAAACAACTTTAAAGTCAACCTGTAAATCAGTGGAATGGTTAGAATGGATTACATGTTTTAGAATAGAATTGAAAGTTTTCCTCTCACTTTTGTAAAACTATACCAAAACATGTTCTCGTATCTGAGTTGAAAGCAAGCTCTGACTACTGCCTATATACCTTACTCTACAAGAGCAGGTGAACTGATAGATCCACGTAGAGACGACTAGACTAAGAGAGCTTATCGTTTACGAATACTGAAAATAAATTTCTGTTTGTGAACATTAGTCTCAGATTCGCTGCATAGAACATTCTTTTTATAGCTGTGGATTGTGCAGCTTAATAATAAATTCTCGGAAAAGAGACCTCTTCTCTAAACTTCATGCTTTTAGTGTTTAGATGGAAATTTATTTTATTATTTATTTATTTTTAACACATAGGCATTTGTACAAGGAGGCAACAAATACATATGCGCCACACGAATCTCAATTGATTTGTGTGAGGGCTGTGATACTGCTCGGGTGCCCAAAGCGAAGTAGGTGGTTTTCTTAGGGGGCCACACCCCGAGCCTTCGACCTGAACGTCTGACCCACAAGGCAGTGGAGCATCGTAAGGAGATGTAGTCCCATGGTAGCCGGTAACCAACGATTGGTTCATACGCCATTTGTTCCCGCAGGATACTGGAGCCCATGTGCACCATTGGTTTGGGGTCCGGTTGAAGCGCCGGACATTCGCTTTTCGTCCTCTCATTTTTGTAAACAACACCCCCGTCACGAGAAGGCAATGAGTAGGACTTCCCTGGCAGAGGCTATATACGCGTGGCCATGTGAGAGCATTTCGAGAGGGCGAGCGGACTCTCCCTACTCTCGACCGTACCAGGGCATTTGAGGGCTCTGACGGATAATGAGTGGACGTGGTAATGGTGGAAAGTCTCGTGCTAAGGCCAAGACGCGATCTGCCCGTGTTGGTCTGCAGTTCCCAGTTTGTCGTGTCCATCGCCTTCTTCGCAAGGGTAACTACGCAGAACGTGTCGGAGCTGGTGCCCCTGTTTAGATGGAAATTATATCTCTGTCAAATATTAATAACAATATTATGTCTTCATCTCAATTGATAAAGATAATTTAGTATATACTAAGCTGTAAAATATTGTTAGAGATTGTTTATTGGCTGAAGATGGCTTATTTCACTTTCTATCATATTAATTATCCCTTTGGATATTTGAATCTAGGGTTTCAAACTACTTCACCCTAGGTATCGTTTCTTTTTTTCCGCCATCACGACGGTCTTTCGATGTTTAGTTTATTGGTTCTTTTAATATGTTGCTCCATTTCACCCTAATTTAAATAATATCGTTGATGTAGTATTATACGCAATAGTTGCTATTTTGACTCAATTTCTTTTATTTTGGTTGTTATGCATAAACGTTGCATTTAAGGTTTGCCCTTTAGATTTTTAAAATTGACGATGGAAGATAGAAAGTCGCAAGTGCTTACAATTTAAATCAGTCTGTGCTACGAGAAATTTGCAAAATGATACGAAGTGATGTGACCTTAAAATACTCTTCACTTCAGACGTTTTGCTTGTCAACCAATTTTAGTCACTGGTTAATTAATTCAATTTATTTGTGTTCATAGTTTGATTAATTTAGTTTTTACGTAATTGCTGGACTAGATCTATCACTATAAACTCTGAATTAATTTTCTTTTTATTTATTAAGCTTGTTCTTGATTTACCACCGGGAATAAATATATCAGAGTCAGATGGGGATCTTATCTGGAAGTATCGATTTTATTTAGCTGACAAATTCCCTGAAGTAAGATTTATTATTACCTATTTTTAATAAAAACATTTTACATTTTAAGTGTTGGATTTTAGACCTCACTCTATGCTTGAAGCTGAGTCATATAAAGAAATGTTAAATCGAATGCTTACTGTAAATTATGAAGCAGTGACTCAGCTCTGTAGATTACTGGATCGATGCTGCAATTCAAATCGGCATATTAAAGAGTGACCATGATAATAATTGCTTTATTCAATATTATAAATTTTCTGACTTAGGAATGATGCAGTATTACGACAAATTTATCGTTAACGTAAATTCAAATTGTAATTACTCAAAAATATATATTTCATAAATGCTTTGCAATAATTGATTACTGGAACTTATCTTTAATCGGAAACGTTTTTTTGTTGAAAATAATTGATTAGTAGTTGAAATAATCTATTACACCTATTATCTTTACCCATCATATAATAGGCGTATGAATCCCAATATAAATTACCCTTTGATCCTTCAAAGTACGAAGTAGGAGGAAAATATACAAACTGCCGTAATAGTTTTGATTAAGTTTTCTAATACTTAGTAGCACAGTAATTTTTAAGAACCTGTAATCGGAAGTCAGGTATTGGTAATATGGATCTTTTGTCAGGAGGATGTGTTTTCTTCCTTGAGTTTGCAGGTGATGTTTTACTGTGCTATACTACCCAAGCCATGCAATTCGCGCTTAATCAATTGAGAATCAGTGTTCGCAGGTATGGTATGTCTTTTTAACCTCCTAAGTGTAAAGTACTTCTACAAGACTGGGAGAGCCCTGAATATGCACTCAACCTCGGTACTTAACATATAGGACTAGTCGATAAGTTCGTGCATCTGGGTAGATGTGTAAGTGCTGGTGGTGGCGTGAGTGATGAGATCAATTCACGTATGTTAAAAGCCAGAATTGCTTATGCAGATGTGGGCCATCTTTGGCGCTTTCATGATGTTAGTCTGACTGTAAAATGTCGGATCTACAACGCGTCGGTGAGAGGAGTTTTGCTCTATCCTTGTGAAACCTAACCTCATCAATTTGAGAATGTTAGATGACTCTGTGTTTAATCGTCGTTGTCTCCGAAGGATTACTGACATCCAACGGCAACATCATGTTAGTGATTCAGAGGTTCGTCAGAATGTGTTTTTGCACAATTACAGTAATTCATCTGGTGTCAATCATGAAACACTGACTTCAGTGACTTGAATATGTACTACAAATATCGTCTCAATCGGTTCCAAATCTTGTATTATTTACTGACGCAGAAACTGATTGCAAAAATGGTGTAGTTGTCAGTGTTTGAAGTAGTATCGTGGTATGAAAAAAAGACTGCTGAATTGGAATCTGTCGGTCCTTCACGACTCCTTAATTGAAGTCTTATAAATGGGACTTCTGTATCTGAAAGAATCCTTTCTTGTTATATTTTTTTTTAACTGAACTGCTTCTCCCGTTATTTACCGCTCTCATTTATTTTTTATTTGGCTTTTGTTTGTTTTATTCTACTCACCTTCATTTTTGTATCTCTTCACAGCCTCATCTTATTATTGTGGGACATATTTATTCTGGTTCCACTTTGTACTAATATTTGTATTTAAATAAAGTAGATATGAACTTCATAAAATCCTATGAATGGATTCGGTTATCATTCATAATTGATCAGTTAAAACAAATCTAAAATGGGAATATTTACTCCTGTATTTGTACAGTTGAAAATTAGATGGCCGTAATGTTCGAAAGGGCGAATATGATCAGATGATATTTAGCAAGGGTATACTTAAATAAATTAGGAGAGAGTTGGATTAAAATTTTACATTAGGATTCTATGTGCATTAGCCCTACTCAAACTAGTCGGGTTGTTTATCGTTTTTATATCTTTTACAGACTTCTTTAGCGAAATTCATTTTATCTGTTCGTTGGGAATATACAGAACAAGTGAATCAAGCTGTTGAATTGTTAAAACAATGGCCAACAATAGCGCCTGAACATGTCCTAGAACTGTTTACTCGTCAATTTCTTCATCCTGCCGGTAGAAGATTTGCTGTACATCGTTTGGAAGCTGCCAGTGATGAGGTATGTAACTATTGTTTCCTTAAACTGTTGAAGACTTCTTTATCATTCAAATATTCGTATTAGAACTGTAATTATTTATTTAGCAATGTTATAGAGTTTTGATGACTTGTTGTAGATAGAGGGTTCTGTTATTATGCTGTTGTTGAATCTTTCAGTTTGTTTTGCTTGAATGTTAGTAAATGCTGGTTTTGTCACTGTAACCCGTGTTCATATCGCCATTATCAATGGATATTTCTTCAAGCTCTTCAAGGTGTTCCCATGTAATCTGAATAGTTTACTGTAGTTACTATTTATTCGTCTTTAATTCTCAATTTAGCTTGTTGAACTGGAGCAATTTGCTAGTTATGTGAGTAATAAAGTATATGCTATATTTAGTAACACCCAGGTCGTTAATAAAAATATCAAAGTAATTCAAAGTTTTTCAACAAAAAAGAAAGGCGAGTGGCAGACGTTTCATACAATGCTCAATCTCTCAAACTTAAATAAAGAGGAACTTAAATCATTTATTCACCGATCGAATTTGACTGCAATCATTTTTTACATAATGAACACACAAATTTCCATTTTACACTTTCATATTACAAATTGTACATTTTTCGTATCCATCAGCATATTCAGAAATATACTCGGTGATGCGTCTCACACGGAATCACATTGACCGATGATTCATTCGACACTGAAATAACCAGACCTATTTTGATTTCTATTGAACTAAATATTTAATTTAGTCGTTTATTCATTCACTCTAAAGCTTCGGCTTGAATCGAGTTGCGAGACTTCCAAAGTCCACATTTCTACTTACTGAAATATCACTATATATTATTATTATTATTATTATTATTATTATTATTATTATTATTATTATTATTATTATTATTATTATTAATGATATTAACCGTTTTGTCCCTGTAGTTTAATAAGCGAAAACATAAATAAGAGTTTAACAAGAAAGGAGTAGCTAAGATACTTGATGAACCGCTAACTGGTTCATCCTATTAAGTTCGAGAGATCGGAAAACTATTCTAAGGCTTTTTCTACTAGATTTTATTTTCAAATAAATGGGTATGTAACTTGCTTATTAGATCTCACAGTAAAAGTTTATAATACTGAAGATCTAGAGCGACTTATCAGCCAATTAGGGAATTATGTTTATTTATAAAAATAACTAATAATAAAACTACAGTAGAATAGTAGTTTTGATATGAATTATTGACCATTACATGTTGAATTACTCTTTATATTAAGGAAAGTAGATTAAATTACATTTTAGAAGTCGGGCTAATGTTGTCAGTTTGCACTATAAGCGTAATGACGCTTTGTAATCCTTTCGTTTACAAACTTAGAAAACTTATGGTTGATATTTAGAGTCAGAAGTTTACTATGTAGCTGCACAAACACTTGAATATGTATTAAATTACTTCAAGTATATTAACTGAATATGGTTCAGAGCAGGTATTTCTTAATTTGGCTTAAATATCACTGTTTGATTGCATAGTATCAATTTCATGTATTTGGGAAACTAAATATTTCCAATTTTCACTCAATTACTGATAACATTTAAGCTATCTTGTATTGCGCTTTCAACTTCTCGCAAAACTCCATGAGGTGCTATCTTAATTTTGATTGGTTTACTCGAGACTGTCACCTTAGTATACTTTCACCATTTTCACTCTACAGGATGATTGAACGTAATGGAAGTTAACAATTAGAGACATATAAAGTGTGAATCAAATATTTTTTTATAACCTTTATCAAATTATAAACTTTCCAAGTTAGGAGGTCTAATCTTGTTATATATATTACGTCTGTTACTGTGACATTGTTACACTTTATAACTTTTTAATTTAAACAAAAATGTGGTCTCTACATCAAAGCAACAGGTCTTTTTCAAGTTCATTGTTTTTGAGTAAACTCAACATTGTCCAATTCTAATACTGGTTTTAAACATAGAAGATGGCTTTTATTGTTGCTAGAACTGAACATTCCTTGGAAGTATTAGCTTACTTACTTAGAGAACTGTCCTAACTTCAAGAGTTGATTTCACTTACTTAAAGAGGCAAAAATGTGCCCGAAGGCCACTGGTTTATGCTACACAAACACACTACACTGATTAACAATTAGGATTCATTCTTGTCTCTATGTTTATATCTTTTTTGTATTTTTGTATACATTTCAGAACATAGCTCTTCATTTTTTTAAAGTAATCCGTCATCTGGTGTTAGGTCTCCGTAAACAGTATATGCAATGTTTTTTGTGTTCCTGGTACGTAATTGTAGTGAACTTGATGTAATTTAAATAATTGTCTTCCTAACACTAGTTAAAAGATTAAAATCTCTATTTATGTATTTCGTTGAATATAACGTTCACTCAACAAACGGGCATCAAACCTCGGTTTACGAATCTAAATTTCATAATTGTTTTCTATTGTTTTTTCCTGAATGTAAAAACGATAATATGAACTTCCATCTATCCATTTAGGAACTTATTTTATACTTATATCAACTTGTACAAGCATTACGCTATGAAAATTGGCATGATATATTTTCAGTTCAACCTAAAAGGAATGATCGAACTTCTAGACGTAATGTTTCAGATGTTATGAAAGAAGGTAATTCTGAAGAGGTGAAATCTACAAATTTGACATCAAATCGTAAAATGCCATCATCTTTTCGTGCTGGACGTGGTGGTGGTAAGTCATCATCCTATTTTTATTTCATTCATCAACAGCATTGCAAAATATTGAACGTAGTCGTGAAGAATTAATTGGATGGCACTCTGATTTAAAAAAAGAATGGAAAGTAAGTTAAGTCTGTTTATGTTTGTGCATTTTGATTTCGTTAGCTTTTAATTTATATAACCAACCACCACCAAGTGTTCACAGTTATTATGAATAAATACCAAAGTTTGATTATGAATAAACAAATTACATTGTTATTCTTAGTTAAAGAGACTTCGGGTTTCTAATTGAGTTTTTATTTAACTGTGATCTGACAGCAAACAATCAAGTGATCCAAGTTACATAAAATGTTGAAAGTCTTTAAACCACTAAAATGAGTGATCGATATAAATATCTAAATGATACTAAGTAAATCTTATTTTCAATCACATTCTATGTATATAATACCAACCAGTTTTAAACCATTTAGTCTCGATACCATAATTTGAGAAAACCCTAGTATCTTCCAGCAAAGAGAAACGAAGTTATAGTCTCGAGGTTTGAAGCTTATAAAGCGTACTATGTAGCATTGTGTATTTAAAAAAAATATATTTTAGTTTAACTTATTATTATAAATATATTAGTATAAGGGATTTGTGGAGATTGAAGAATTCTCATAGTTTAAATCGCGAACTAATCTTAGCTAGACAACCATTAAAAACCTGGAAGCATTAGATAGCGGTTTTGTCGCAGTGTGGGACTCCCCAGCAGTGTTAATCCATAACTTTGCGTTTGGTAGTCGGATCCACAGCCCTTAATCTCACGCTCCAGAGCTTAGGTTCTAAATCACCACGATGCTTCATAACTCTCAACCATTACCTATAGTAGATAACTATCTCACACGCGACACGATTGAACTCCTTTAACCACAGCTCCTTACTAGAACCCCTGGATTTGGATCATGAAGCTAGTCACTAGTGAGCACATAATTATTATTAGTATATGAGGATTTGTAAAGACTGTTGGGTTGTCATAAATAAAATCACGAGTTGATCTCAGTTACTGATGCAATGATCTGAAATATGGAAATCATCGAAATAGGAAAAAAACTAACAGACTTTGAGTAGAATGATCTCAGAATCTTTAGATATTGTCACAAGCACAATACCATCGAGTCATAGAGTTTGATGTCCACAACTGCACATATAATTTTAAACAGCCCATCGGACTAGTTACAGAACTCTTTTTCTCCAAATATATATTTTCTTTTATAGGAAGATTTAGCCAGTTTCCTTATAAGACGCGCTCAACTAAATTTTCGTATTGCAAATTATCTGTATTGGTTTTTACGATTAGAAGCGAACAGTAATGATGGCGAAGATGATTTCTCCGAACGGGATACCGTAAATTCACCCGATACTCAAAAGATGTATAAACATGTTTTGAATAGACTTTTACATGCTTTTGATGCTGTAAGTTTTCACCATTTGGTGGATGTACAGTCTTGATATTGTCGTTGTCGTCACTTTTTTTTAACTCACATTGTACTGTTGAGTTCATAAATTTAGGGATACTTGAAATTAAGACGTAACTGGACTGCACGAATGCACATCTGTCATAACTTGTGACCGCCAATTAGAGAGCAGTGAATTATCGATCGGATCAACGACGCGTAAAACCCGTACGAGCAGTCTAGAGTCCTGATTGGTCCTGCTTTCTGTCTAGCCCAGCCAGTTATGTCCAGAACACCAATCCGAGCCTCTGCGATATGAACCATTTATTTCAAACATACGGGGTTTATATACCAATCAAACAGATCACAACGTACCATAAAATAGAAAACAACATTTGTATAAAATTTGGCCAAAAGTGGCTGTGAATGAGGGAGGTGGTGAATAATAGACGGAATAATTCAAGAATGGAAAATCGTGTAATAACAGTTCATAGGTAAAAATAAAGCTTATGGTAAGAGAGATATGAATATGAAAGGTTTAGTATTGGTCCATAAAAATATCCCAAAAAATTACCACTCATTCTTTCGAGACACAACAACATTAACAGGCAATAAGTAGCTTGAGATGGTGCAGCGAGGTTTCATTGTAGACTCTACTGGTTTCCGGTTATGAAATCAAAACTTATGAATTAGGAACCTTAATAATGTTTCTGTATTTGAATGGTATCCGTAAATACTACTTTCTAGTTACTCTTTGGTTATTCAAAATTATACAAAAGTGATCGATATCTAACCCACCTATTCTCTATATCTCCTGTTTGAATCTAGATAAGAAGATTCCAAATGAACGTATGAGTATGCCATGAACATAAATCTTCCATTGAACTCCTAATATTACCCAATCTAACCCCATTTATGCGACGGCGGTATTAAGAAACCTAACTCGGATTAAGTTGGATGAATTTATTTTAGATACACTTATATTCCGATAGACATTAAAAATAAGCAAGAAAACGAAGCGAAGCGGAGAAATAAACTGTACCAATTCCTTTTGACGAATCGTGATACAATATTTATCGTTAGGCAAAAAATAATCTGAAGACATTATGAATAGGGTACGTGATGGGCACATATTTTCATATAAAAGCAGTCTAGGTTATAAGCGAATAATTAACAAGGCCGAAATGTAACTCGAGAAAAATAAATAAATTGGTCTGTTCGGAAGCTAGAATAACCCATGTCGACTTGACATAGTACTAGACACTACAAGTTGAATGAAAAAGACTACTTGTGTGCATGGTAAGTAGTTTGATGTTACTGAGAGCAAACGTTTGATTTTATCATCGACACCAACCTGGTGAAGGAATATCGGCCATTAATCTTGTCAGTTTCCGGCTTGTGCTGATCATTATTGTCTATAATTTTTAACCGATCGTTTTTCCCCGTAACATACCAAATTTCTTGTTATCCTGTAAGTGTTTCTGATATTTATCTGGTTTCTGTTAGGATTACAAAGATAATTCTGATAGTAACGATGTTGATTGAAGTGTTTATTTTATTAGTTTTGGAAATAACAAACACATTTTATAAGTGGATCTCAAGTATCAACACTATTAGAAGGTTGGAATATTACAAAACAATATGCTCTGAAATTTCTCAGTGGTAAACTTTCTTGAATTTCTTATCTATGTTTGTACTTTCCCTCTATCGATTTTTTTAGTATAAAACTAGCCAGTGTTAAAACGAAAATACATGGTTTGCGATTCTGGTACTTTATTCTAAAGGACTAGACACCATAAAATTATATCAATAGAACTAAACACAGATGCAGATTAGTAAATTCAATGGAACACGGTACTTAATCATATGACACTCAGTTTAAATGTCCGAAAGCTGATAGATAATCTGGTGTTGTTCGAAACGAAAACATATCAATGTACAATGTAAAGTAGTTAACAAGTGATCTCAAATTATAACGAAAGTGAAGCCAGTTTTATGTATACCATTACCTCTTGTAGTCATGGTAGCCGGATATATTTGTCTTTGCTCACTGGCTAATCGCAGTTTATTTTGACTGGTAACACCAGGTTTGTGTTGACATATGAGCTCTCTAAACGAAAGCCTCAATATTGATTCTATTTAGAAGTTAATCATTGTTTGACGCTTGAAGAGATGGTTACTAGTTTTGAATTTCAGTGTGAATATCATTACTGCGACAGGAGTACATTTGAATGGTTAGTCCTAAATAGAAAGAAATAAGTATGCTGGACTTTACTGCTAACTGCTGTCCAAAATAATTGTTAAGTATGTATTTATGAGTGATCATTGGATCCAACTTAGTTACAAGGTATATATCTTGATCCTATCGAATGTAACAGTGGTTTAGTTGATTATCGCTTTATTATAATGTTTCCATAAGGTATAAGAGTTGAACTTCTCATTAACTTGGTTTCTTTGTGTTTTTTCCCAACCAATTAACATATAGGGTAGTCCTACTTGTCAAAAATGGAACATAGAACTACTACAACAAACACAATTCATTCAAGATTTATGCCGGTTGCTAAAATCAGTTACCAATGATTTGGGTAATCGTTCACGTAAAGTAATTCAATTTTATGTGTTCTCCTATTTATTAAAAAAATATATTCAATAAGAGAATTTTATCCTTCTTTTTCTTTTCATTTGCACCTAAATAACTGTTAATTTACATCTCAATATTCCTGTAGTTATGATTATTAGTGCGTTTTTAATAAACTAAGTTTAGTGAATGATTCCCATTTATTTTATTAAGATTAATTCTTATTTGTGTTCAATAAAGAAACATTCAGGTCAATAAATTTGATTGTTTCTTTTTTACTGGTTCGTTCACGTATTTTACTTATATTGTTCGATCTGGAACCTCTCAATTTTTACTTCTATATATGGTTTCCTTGATACAAGACCAATGGAATAATTCTGTTTTTCTTAAACATTCATCATACTTTATTCACTATTTGATGCTAAGATTTTATCTAAACACTAAATAAGTACTTTTCACAACCAAAGCTCACCAATGTAATCTGGACCACATCGTATTATTTCATTAAATACTCTCGTTGAGACAATAAACAGACAAGTTAAGCAAGGGAATATTTCTTTTCACGAAGTTCTTCATTAAGGCTCTACACTAATGCATATGTTTTATAAGTGTGTAGAAAGTTGATAGCAATTAGATGGTTGTGAGTCAGTTTACCTAAATAATAATCAGTTATTTATATAGCCTTTGAAAAATCAGATTAAGATTAAAAATAAAGTGAATTTTCATGATAAGTTAATTATTACAAATAGTTAGATAATTAAAATTGAATGTAACTATGAAATTTTAAGAAAGAAGGGTTTCGAAACATGTAACAGTATCTTAGTAGAAGGCCAGGGTAGATTCAAAGGTTGTCTAAACTTCTTGTACATACACAAGTTAGGTTTTTCGATATGTATTTCTATGGCTTCTGCCATATGTAAGAGTTGGATTCTAGAACCATAGGGTAAATTCGGTGAGATGTTATGATTAACGTTGAAGTTTTATCTATGTAGTGACCAGTATCGACTAGATTCGGCAACATAGAGTTTCTTATTACTTTCTTCTGTCCTTTGGTCGAGCATGAAGGGCGATGTTCAGAAATACGACGATGCATTTGTCTAGTTGCGCGCCCATAATAACTAGCTGTACAAGAGTAGTTCAAATTGAAGTGACTAGATATAATAAAAGGATATGTTTGTTGATGTCCGTTTTCATGAAATTAGTAAAGTAAACAAGTAAATTTGGTGTATATTAATTGTACATTCAATTTATTTATTTTTGTTTTACCGTATAGATTGAATTGTTAAGATCAAAGTTGGATAGTGAAGAATATGCTCATATTAGGCATATTGATAAACCATTCCCACTTCCTCTAAATCCGGATATTATTGTATGCGGTGTACAATCGTCTACAGCTACACTATTCAAGGTTTGTTGATGTATATGCATATTTCTCTGTTAATTACGATGATTAGCACCATTTAAATGATTAACTTGAACAGCATCATCCAAAACATTTTACAAATTGTAAAACTTTAGTTGTTAAATGATTAATATGACAAGCTTTTTGGGGGGGGGCGAGGTTGAAAACCAGCTACACGATTCTGTACCTGGCAAATTAGTTCCCTTCAAGCTCATGAAATAATCTAGAAATTATCCGCATACCTTTTTTACTATTGTAGGCTACTATAAATGTAAATGTAATGTAAATGTTCCATGAATTTGATTTTCGATTATTCTGTTATATACCTGCCATCAATTTCTTGCAGAGTTTCCAACGACCTGCATTACTGACTTTTATCCAACCGAATGGCGACACTTATCGAGCTATTTTAAAACATGGTGATGATTTACGTCAGGATCAATTAGTTTTACAAATGATTGAGTTGATGGATGTGGTAAGATTTTTTAAAATTTATTCTCTTAAGTTAATTATTCTTAATAGTCATTTTGTAGCGGAAGAGAAATTTCAACCAAGCATTCAGATATCATAAAGTAGTCGTTTGATAATTGGAAAAATAGTCTGAGTTTAATTACCTATTGCAATTCAGTAATTGTTTTATGCTCAGAAATTATTTTTCTACATATTAACTGTTTCTATCTTCGTACAATATTATCTTTTTTCTAGAGTCAGTTATGTAGTATAATCTGAGGGGTTATCGAATAATTATATATTTTGACTTGATACTTATAAGGTTTTATTGCTTTCACTTCTATCATACTATAGGATGTCGAAGTAAACATTGATTTTGTTGGCTTAGTCTATCATAGTTTCTACACTGTCTATTGGAATAATTTTCCAATAGAATTTGACATATGAACCCACTTGGTACTTCAAAAAATAAGACAATTTTTAAACATGAGCACTCCACTAATGACTGTACTTTAAAATTCATGGTGTCCACAGCACGAAAGTTTATCATGCATCTTTATGGTCTGACTTTTTTTCCGTTAGACACTATGCGATAAAAGTTACATTGCTAGAAATATCTATTACTGTTACACAAGATTCCTATTTGCGATGCCAAACGGCTATATAAGTAAGAAGATTGATAGTAAGGAAGTTTTTTATTGATCGACCGTTGTTTTAAAAACAACTATACACTCACCCATACATGTGTTTCTTGGACATTCAAGACACATTGAAACGTCTCACGCTTTAGAAACAGAAGCTACACCTTAACCAATTATGTGAGCTTATCATTTGGTCGATATCTGGTTGACTGTTTAAAGCTTCTTAAGTATTGGTGGATTGGAAGCTCACTAGGACGAGGCAGTCTAAGCCTCTATGGTTTTTAATGATTTTACGGTTAAAATCATTTCGAATGGTCCACCTTCACTACCTGTCTCTTAAAAATATGACCATCGTTGTTCAGTTCAACGGAGTTTTCATCCGGATTTTATTGCTGTTATCATTACAACCAACCCTATTATTTAGGAAAAAAAGTTTGACTTCCTATGAATTCAGCTTTTTGCACATTTTTCAATTTTTCATATCTACTTGATATATCGTTATTATTATCACCTTCATTATGATTATTTCTCAATTTTTGGTGATAGATATTAGTTCTATCATTTTGTCTCGTCTGTTGTGAATAATTTACACGTTTCTTTCGGTTCATTACGTCCTGAACTTTCTTGTCCATTCTCTTGTTATATAAGTTGAATTTCTAAGATTTTGGGAAGTAATTACGACTATTTATAACCATAGAATAAATTTATTAACAATCCATTCCACAAGACTATATTTGTTAAACATCTTGTGCATTAATTTAGTGCTTATACGCATAAAATAAAATAGATTCTCTACATCTTATAATGTTTACTGTTCCTACCAAGTTTTGTTATTCAAGGGCTAAGTGCTCGCCGCAAGACCTACAGATCTTGGGTTCCATCCCCGGTTGGGTTGTAGACACGTACACTGCCGTGGAGTCCATGTTTTAGGACGAATCGGCTATCCATTACTTCTTGATTTTCGTTAGTTATCTAACTAATATCAATCCGTAATACAAACTATAAAGTCTATCAATTGACATGGTTTCCTAAAACTTTCTCTCAATACTCTTTACCTTAGTAGTTGTGATTGTATTAACAGTTGTCTATTGTCTAATATTGTCACTTCCATAAGCTTTCTGTGATGATTAATAATGAAGTAAAATACTTACATTTGTTATTATTTCAGACTTCTGTAATTGTCTGCACACCAATATAGGTAAATGTTAGCTCCATTAATTAATTATTTATTTATTTTACGGCATTTTGTCGTTATCTGTTGTAGATACTTCGTAAAGAAAATTTCGACCTTCGATTGACACCATATAAAGTTTTGGCTACAAGTAACCGTCACGGTAAATTACTTATGTAATAATCTGGCTTTTATTTACATCGTTTCTTTTCAACCACTTTTATTTAAAAACAGCAGTGTAGCATTTTAACTATTATAAATTTTACACTTTAGCATACAAAAGACTTTTAGTAAAAAATTGATGACAATGTAGCAAAGTAAAGCCTTTATATTTTTTCTTGCATACATCTGCGTCTTGTTCTACCGGAAAACATACAAAGAGAACTGTGTGAATGGTGTAGACGGCTTGTGTTTGTTAATGTAACACTTGCCAGTAGTTCTTCAGATTTCAAATGTCTGTCCACAACCATATTCATAAAGACACTAAAAGATTCACCGTATACCTTATTAACTGCCTTCAGCGCTCTCCGCAACAAAGTAAAATCTTTTCTTGGAAGCCAGAGAAAGAATAATGGACCTTGGTAAACAATAATAGGCATGTATAAAAGAATTTACAAACCATAAAAGTAAATACCGAGTGATGGCAAAAGTATGTAACAATTTCCCACCATAAATTAGACGGGAAACTTTCTTCGGTATTGATAAAACATGAAAAAAATCACTTTTCATTTAGTTTTCTTATGCTTTTTTTCTTATAGGTTTAGTTCAATTTGTTGAATCTATTTCATTGGCTGATATACTTCATCGTTCCACATTACTAGCTTATTTACAATTAAAAGCTCCGAGTCCAAATAGTCCTATGGGTGTTCAAAAAGATGTTATGGAAACATATATTCGATCTTGTGGTATGTTTTTCTGTTATAAAGAAAAGCCATCTTATGTGAATAAAATAACTTTGTAGACAGAAGAACTTCTTAGTTGTCAATAAAAATGGTATTCTGTGTAACTAGTGATTGTTATAGATTGACTACAGATAACTAACAGTGTTTTGGTAGCTCAAGGACGTAATTAACTATGATAGTTTTAGTATATAAGTGCTAATCTACAAAACGGTTAGAGTAATAAAGTATTAAATGAAAACAGGGTAAAAATTCTTAGCTAAATTAAGAGAACCTGTTTTGTGGAGTTAATGCTATGGGGGAGATTCAAAGTAGTCCTCGGAAAAGTCCGTAGGGTCCCAAAAAACGCTGGGAATCCTTTTTTTATCAGCGTTCAATAGAAGCTTCTCAAAAACATTTAGAAAGCAAAAAGTCACTGATGTGAACTGGAAAACAAGAAGCCCTGACAAACTACGAAGGCTATTTTTCGGGACGTTATTTCATTTTATTCAAAGCTTGTAAAACACTGACATTTATTTTTGTCCCTAATCTATTCTACAGAACATAAACTTCCTTTCGATGTATCATTCACTGCCATACCTTTTTCTGTTCCGAAGCTATTGTAATTTAAACATAATATTTTGCACCCTATTTTCTACTCTAATTCTCAGCTTTGAACATAATTGTATTTTTCCTAATTATTGTACGTTGCGGTCGAATTATTCACTTATTTATTCATGTACCTTTTTACACTAATCTGAATTCAGTGAATTCAGTTGAAATCAGGACTAGATCGAGTAGTGTTCCAGTTGTCTTGTCTTCTCTCATTCGTGTGCTTGCCCACCAATCAGGTGACAGAATAGTTTTCTTCTCTCTACCCGATCTCGAACTCACGCGTACTAGTCTCAAGGTTAAGCCGATCAGCCTATCGCATCAAGGTCGAAGTCTAGATTAAACAAGTATCCTCGGCACCAAAAGTGGGTAGACAAACCAAGGTCATAACGTCACGTTTTCGATTGAATAGTTACCTGTGCTTCCACCAGATTTAGTATCGTTCGAGAAACTTCCGGAAGCCCAAAGCTATAAATATCCTCGATTTTCTGTAAATAAACCAAACTTGGAGTAAAACCTTCCTTTCACACTTTGCGCCTTTTCCTTTATATTCAAGTTTCCGTGTAAATTTAGCCTGGGATTATTAAAATCGATACGAGCGTTCATTTATAGAACTTATCAAATACGACAAATCTAAACAAAACGAATGCAACAGGACGACACAAATGAAACAGTATTTAAGAATAAGTTCAATGCCCGCGTTTATCTACTATGTCAACTCAATTGCATTATTTTTTATAGTTGAATTCAATCCTCAATAACTTGATCGTGTTTGATCGAGTCATACCTTGTTCTTTATTTTAAGCTGCTTTCATTAGAAAACATCACTAGTAAACTAGTGTTTGTGTACATTCATCTTTTGAAGTTTTCGATTTTATCACACTCCAACTCAGTTATAAGCAGTATAGAAACTAGCACATATGTGCACCATTCTCACTTATCATTCTGTACTTACGTAACGTAGTGAAATAATCAAGATGAATACTAAGTTGTTAGATGTACTAGAACGATTAGTGATCGTGGAAGAACATTGGACAGAGAATTTTATCATTATTTATTATACGATTCAACCAATTGTTTATTTTCATAAATATTTTCAATCACTATGTAGTATTTCTTCCTCTAGCAGTGTGTGACATGAATATTTTATACGACCTTCAAACGCTTTATTAAGGAAACCACATTATTTTTCTTGCTTTTCTTACAGCTGGTTATTGTGTCATCACTTATCTTCTTGGAGTTGGTGATCGTCATATGGAAAACTTACTTCTCACTGCTGATGGTCATTTATTTCATATTGATTTTAGTTTTATTCTTGGCGCTGATCCTAAACCAATGGCACCTGAAGTAAGATTAACTCGTGCAATGATTGATGGTATGGGTGGTCCAAATTCAAATCAATTTAATGAATTTTGGAAAATCACTTTTACAGCTTTTCTTATTTTAAGACGGTGAGTAATAAATGATTTTGATAAGTAGTGAAAATCGGGTAAAATTTAAAGATTTATTAATACATTTTACCGCTTTTCTATGCATTAACATATTATTGTTTTTAGCTTGAATATAAATGCCTGTGTTGTTCAAATGTTTCGAATTAAATATGCTGAAAAAACGTTTTACGTAGTTTATCGTTATATTACAACTCATTTCTAAATAGCTGTAGTATTTATTTTTATAGGTTTGATCTATATTCAATTCTTTCATCCAACTGTTTATTGATTTCTCGTCTCTGACAGGTATTAGGATTAGTTTTAGCAGCTTAATACATTAAACAGTTGGTGATAATAGTATTCTTGAAGAAAATGTTAATGTTAAACCACTCATTTCGAAACTCATAGTTTTAGTTTTTAATTTTCATTTGTTTCATGGTATAACACTACCCTTCCGATACACATAAACGTTCATTCTTTGTATGATTTCGCGTAAAAATTAATTTTAATTATTTGTTCATCTGTTATCTATACAGTAATAATACTTTTACCAATTGTAGTTAACAGTTTCTTTTATTTCTTTTTATTAATATACAGGCACGCGAATTTATTTTTGACTCTATTTTCCTTAATGTCAAATACAGGAATACAGAGTTTCAATGGCCAACAAAATAATGCATCTGAATTTTTAAAAGAACATTTCTGTGTACATCAGTCAGAAGAGAAAGCTGTTAGTCGACTGGCTAATCGTATGACTGAATCTATCAAGGCTATTGTACCTGATATTATGGAACGAATACACACTATTGTACAAGTAAATAACTTCACTTATGTTGGGAATAGTCAATTTCATATTTTTTTTCTTAACATGAAACAGATATTGTTTACGAGATTAAATAACTTATCACATTCGTATATAGACAAAATTTTCTTTGGTACTACTTATGTCTTAATAGATGATAGATTGGTATGCAATTTGATTGTTGTGTTTAAGAAGCATACTTCTTCGATAGTATTCGTAGATTGTTTCCTTTTATATTCTTTTCATTAGTCATATTTCAATTGCTTTGATAGTCTAATTCTAATGAGAAATTTAGTGTTAGTTTCATATTCTTGCTGAAATTCAAATAGTTTCATGGGTAAATGAGCTGTTGCATGTATTTATTAAGGTTTTGTTTATGGATTTTTCAGTCAGACATCAACGTCAGGTCTGATACAAATGCTTATCGGGTCAAGTTACCACACTCATATCAGCACAAGGAGAGGGAAGTATATCGTATCAAAATCAATGGAAATCTGAACATAAAATTTCTATTTATAAGCATCAAATGGAATTGAAGAATTTCAAGTTAATGATAGTTAACGCAGGATTTATAAGAAACTAGAGAATAAATGTAATCACGCTGCTGCAACGGATTTTACATCGTGTTACGTAACCATTGCCTAAGATTATTGTGCAGATCCAAACCAGAATAGAATGTCTGAACCTATCGATGTGACGTAGGTCTTCAGTTTCTTTCCATGCTAATCACATGTCAACCAGGATCGAGCATTATGGTTAGACATACCTAACATGTATCAGTTAATCTTGTATGTTTCCATCGTAGCTCATCCGTATAAGTAATAACTAGGAAAATAAGAACCTAGCATCCTTTCATATGATCCCCGAACGCCCTGGGACGGCCGAGAGTGTGAAGAGTCCGCTCTCCCTCTCGAAATGCTCACATGGCCACGCGTATATAGCCTCTGCCAGGAAAGTCCTACTCACTGCCTTCTCGTAGCATTACTGTTGTTTACGAAATTGAGAGAACAAAAAGCGAATGTCCGGTGCTTTAACCGGGTTGATGGACATTGAGAGTCCACCTAGGAGAGTTGGAAAACCCTGACCCCAAACCAGTGGTGCACGTAAGCTCCAGTATTCTGAAGGAACAAATGGCGTATGAACCTATTATTGGTCACCGGCTACCATGGGACTGAATTTCGTGACGTTGCCCCTTGCCTTGTGGATCAGACCTTTAGGTCAAAGGCTTCGGAGTGGCTCCCCAAGAAAACCACCTGCTTCGGTTTGGGCACCCGGGCAGTATCACAGCCCTCACACAAACCAAATGAGATTTGTGTGGCGCATAAATATCTGGTGCCCTCTTGTGTTCAAATAAAATAAAATAATAAATAGTATTTGAGAGAATCATCAATTGTGAGTAAACTTTTGTCAGACATCTAAAGCGTATTACTATTTTTACTATATGTAAAAGCAACTTATGTATCTGGGCATTACGTCATACGTTGCGATTTATTGATTCTCGCGGGTTCAGTATATGTAATGCTCTATGCTGGTAAGCTGCTGCTTTGTACCCTGTCATGATCTCAAATTTCTTTCGACTTTAGTCATTATATCAGTTTGTAATTGTATTATATGTAGGTATTTTTGAAAACAGTGCTACTTAAATGGGTAAAGCAACTCAGTGGTTCGTTCTTTCTGTAGGTAAAAAATTTTACCGATTACAAAATGTTTTTTTTTCAAATAATTCATTGTTTTAAACCTTAATTTATTTTTTTTCCCACCTAGTATATGAGGAACTAATCAAGCTTTTCAATAATCTAATTGTGATATAGATCTTCAGTAACTTTTTTTGTCAAACTTATATTTTCATAACAAAGAAATATCATAAATTTTCACCAGGATACTTTTGTTTACAAAATATTTCAGTCAATAACAAAACGTCGCAGTATTTCTTATCACTGTTTAATAATTTTTGTAACAATGTATGTACATGAATAATAATAATAATAATAATAATAATAATAATAATAATAATAATAATAATAATAATCATTCTTCTTTAATGTATGAATCAGCAGTTAGGGATAAATCCAACATTCCAAATCCAGTTTGTTTAAGAGCTAATGTAGTTGGCTGTCGGTTAAAGAAAAGAAATACATAACCAGTATGTAACAACTGATAAAGAACTTTTTCAAAGTAACATTCCTCGATTATTCTACTCATAGGTGTGTTGAGAATTTTTAAAAAAATTGTCGAGTACTTCGGTTTACATATATCAGTCGGATAAAACTAATTAGTTGTCTTAATGTGAGTACAAGTTTTATAATGGGATAATTGATATTTGCTTGCTTAGATTTAATACAAAGAATCTTATGATTTAAACCTATAGCGCAATCTGAGGTTCTTTATTACAACAATATTCAAATACCATTAACCTATACCGCTCACCAGAATTTGTCTACCATGATTCTTCTAAACACCGCTTTTTCTTATCAGTTGTGAAGTTGGGCTATAGCTCTCATTTACAACAAGTTAGTCACATGCAACGTTGAACCTGAACTTTATCTGTTTCGTTTCAGTTTGTTATACCACGTTAATACAGCAAGATGAAATTATCAGGATAAATCCCAGAGTAGTAGAAATAGTATGATTAGAAATAGGCGCTATTATTTGACACAAGTGAGTTCGTGGAATAAAAAGGTGCAAGATAATTCTTAAGCTCAGGATTATAGGAAAGACAGAATGAATGCATCTGTGCCATTACGACAGATTCTAAGCCATGTCACCCAACGTCACCAACCATTGTTTACGATAATCTTATGGACCGCGATCAAGCACAGTAGCGTTTATTAAATAAATATGATTTCATACGATTCATATTATTTGTTGACCAATAAAACTCAGCAAATATTCCCAGACAACCAGTTAAAACGTTGGCATCGAACTATGTATTCGGTCATCATAACAAAAGATAAATATAATAAAACTGATAGTGAAGTATTTTTCTCTCAGGTATGCCACGATAATGCGAATAGTCACGTTATATCAGATCCAGGATTCACGACTCTGAATAGAGAATCAGATAATACTTTATTCAACACGTACAATCACACTCAGTGAGTTTGGAGTAGAAATTAATGGGAGGAAAGGAAATCACTTATTTAATTGTCAGTATGCTAAATGCGTGTTTGTCCACGCTCAATGACCAACCGTATTGTAATTTCACTGCCGCATATCTCCTTAAAATCAAGGAATGCAATAGTCTCATAATGCTCAGGTACAGTTTGGGATTCTGTAGGGCTTTATTCCCAACTATATGAGGTATCAAAAATCGATGCATTTAGATAACCATGAAATGTCATATGCTTCTTTATCTCCCAAGATGTGATGCATTATTTTAAAAAGATAACCTTCTGTAGAAAAATTTTGGTGAAAAAACTCAAGCCGAAGCTCGTTTTTTTTGTCTATCACTTGTTGCACTGGTAAACTGAAGGCTTTAATTGTTAGAACATTCATAAATGAAAAGTGGAATAATATAGAAATTAACACAATATCGGATCCACTCAAAATATGAACTTAATAGATTCTTGAAATGTAAATAAAACGAGTGATTGTGAACCCATATTATAAAATAGAACTGTCGGTATTTATTTTTCAAGAAACGTAATGAAGTCCATGATCATTTGTACGATACAAACCCGGTTTTACTTACTTACTTACGCCTGTTACTCCCAATGGAGCATAGGCCGCCGACCAGCATTCTCCAACCCACTCTGTCCTGGGCCTTCTTTTGTAGTTCCATCCAATTCGTGTTCATTTTTCTCATGTCTATCTCCATTTCTCGGCGTAATGTGTTCTTTGGTTTTCCTCTCCTTCTTCAACCTTGAGGACTCCATGTGAGGGCTTGTCTTGTGACGCAGTTCGGTGCTTTCCTCAATATGTGTCCTATCCACTTCCAGCGCTTTTTCCTGATTTCTTCCTCCACCCGGTTTTAGGGACCGTGTTTATGGTTGAAGTCATCGTATTTTTGTCTAACCTCAAACTAACCCGCATTCCATTTGAAAGCATGTATATCACATATTGTAGGCAACTTATTCAGTTCATATAGAAATTATAACTCTATAACTAACTTTTATCCTTTCGATAACCGTTGGCATAAACCCATTGCATCAGTTCATTTTATAAACTATTACGTAACTTATATTCTATACTTGAATTTCTTAGTAACCGTAGTAATGACAAAATAACCTATTTTACTATGCACTTGTGAGGAAGAGTGAAAATAAAACTTACTGCACTGTTCGGTATGTTTGCATTGTACATTCGCTTTTCCTCTTTATCTTTGAGTTGCGTTTTGGAGCAAGAAGGTTGAGGAGTTTCTGTCCTTGTGGATATGGAATTAAGCTTTATTTGTTCTATTGATAAAAAAAACATCCAATAAACTTTTAGATTTGATAGAAAAATCTATATATTTTCAGTAATCACCCTAGATTAGTCGTCCATATTTAAATGTTTACCTGACCTGTGACAAATACAAACCAGAACTGCTTTTGTAATCCGTCACTCTACTGAATCGATCAGTTTCTCCTAATACCCTTTGTTTTCTAAAATTTTGATCGGAAAGTTAGTCTTTGGTGTTCGAAAGTTGTGTATTTTTGTTACATGTTTAACTACTGCAATGATTATGCTCCATCTTATATTCTAGTAAAACTGATGTTAGCGATCGACTATTATTCATTCACTTCAACTTTGAAGTCGGGGATTTTGGTTGGATAATGGTAAAGTATTGTATGATAAAATGTTTCCAAGATACCTTGTAACGAAATTAGTCTTCTTTTTCCGAATTATCTATTCATAAAGTTTTGAAAAGAAAGTGTGATTATGATTTTCTAAACAACTTGTTAGCTGTATTGCAATAAAAATAAGAACTAACAGTTAAATGCATATCGTTAGTCCTAAAGTGTGGTCTAGAAATACTGTATGACTGAATCTATAAAATCATCTAAATGACTTAATGTTGTTTTGAAAATGTTTTCAAGCTTTATATAGAATAAATAAAACTGATTAACAACGTTACCAGAGATATACTAGACTTTGAACTGCAAAGTATGTATGCTAGAAGTCTCACCTGATCGCTTAAACTAAAGTCGATAATGTATTATTCCAGTTCATACCATAGTAGTTAAAAGATGACTATTGAAAACAGATTAACTGAAATTATAAGCAAAGATGGATAGTGGCTAGCAGTGGAATCCAGGACGCGCGTTTCGCCCTATTTGGGACCCGTCAGCTGGATGTACCTGCATCTCAGAGTTTATGTTCACTCCATGACTCGAACCCGGTACCGTCTGCTTCAAACGCCATCGCGTTATCCACTTAGCTACTGAGTCCTGGTAGCCAGATTGAACATCAACTCTGAGATGCAGGTAAATCCAGCTGACGAGTCCCAAATAGGACGAAACGCGCGTCCTGGATTCCATTGCTAGCCACTATCCATCTTTGCTTATAATGCCTGTAAATTAAGGCAATATCGAGGCATACGCACAGTATGCACATATGCCAATAAGTAACTGAACAATTTCAGTTCTAAACATCAATGGGAAGATTCAAATAAAACAATATCAAGTGAGTTTCACTGAAAATTCATTAACAAAACATGCACCTAGAAATTACTCAAACGTACCGTGAAGTAGACCTAATTCAGAAAATTTGATTAAACATGCTAATTCACACCACCCGTCGTTAATTAGTTGATAATCAACTGGAAACGATTTTTCTGATTCGTATAATAATTGATCATTTTCATGTTTCCACTGATCTTTCTGTTTTTTCTGAATTGCATTGTTGACAGTGATATCTTTTGACCACGTTATTTTCTTTTGTAATTGTGGAGTATATTCATTCATCTTTCTAGATTGATTATTTTGAACTGATTTTAAAACTTTAAAATCTTTAGGTTTATTAAAACTTTTTTCATTTAATTCTAAAATTCCAAGAGTTGAATTTCCAGTATTACCAAAATTTGATTCTATTTCTGTCATAACAGTAGTAGAATTTTCTTCTCGATCAGGAGTACAATTTGAAATATCTACCGTATACGGTTTAAGTGGAAAATTAGATTTTGATAGATCTGTTAGTAAAACTGTATTATGTTCGTTGAGATTTGCTTTCATTGTACAATCAGACATGTATTGCACCATTTTTATCGGTGTTGAGATTTGATCGTCTTCGTATTTAACTGATTCCTCATCATCTCTGGTTCGATTTATGTCACAGGTAATGTCTAGGCAGTCGGATTTGACCGAACAATCAGATCTTAATTCAGTTTCCTGGTTGATATTCGAATATAATGATGAATTTTGATTTTGCATTGATTCTAAGTTTACTGAATTCCTAGATAAGTATCCTAATTTTGAAGATCCATCACATATAGGTGGACATGAAGCACAAAGGAGATCGTTGTTAATAAATGATTTTTGTATGGAGAATAAATCAGGTGTATTATCTTTTAATAATATATAGGGAATGGTTGGTGTTTCTTTTGTATAACGGCATTCATCCAATACAGGTGTAAGGGTGAACGTTGAACTCTGACTCAAATCTGTATCCATTGTAATTTTATCCGCTGGATCCCATTTAAATCGTTTACGACTTATTTTTTGAATTGGAGGTTCATCATTATTAGATGATTCTGATATAGAATTATTCTTTACTTTGATTGTCTGTTTGTATGTTGAAAGAGTTAATCTTGAATCCTAATAAAATTTTACAATTTTTTTACGCATGAAAATGACAGTGAAATGAATAATTTGGTTGCAATGGTAACTTTGTATGCTCTTTCCAAGTATCAACCATAGTTTTCTGTCAGATACAATTTTTTTAATATCTGTTTTAAAGTACTCTACTGTGATTGAAATGTTTCCTGTTTCTGTTATATCTTGAGATACCTTAAAAATACTAGATTTTAACAGTAAAAATACAAGGATGGCCATTAACTATTTATTATTAGCATCTCCCATAAACTAGGTA